CGGTCGCCGGAGAGAGTGGTGGTGGTCGGCGGCAGCAGAAGGAGTTACGAAGCAAAGGAAGATGGGAGAGCGGCGACGCCGTCAGAGGGATCGGAAACGTCAACGTTAGGAAGCAGCGCTGCGCAGTGCGGCGCGGAAAGGAAGCTCCTAATGCTTTTCTCCTAAATCTTTCTAACTATGAGTGGCAAAGATAAGGCCTCGATCTTAATCTGGGATCAAATTTTGCTGTCATCTTCAATGTAATATCATCAAAATAAATAAGAAGAGAGAATGAAATTATGACTTTCATATTAAACAACAATTACCATTAATGGTGATGGTGAGGATGGGTTCATTGGGTTAAAGCGACTCCACTACATGCTTAGGAACAGTTTGGGGTTGAGGGTGAACAAAAATTAATTTAGTACGGTTACTTCAAGTAACTTTCAAAATGTTTTACCAAGGAAAATTTTAGGATAGATTTGAGAGTATATAATAAAAAAAAGATAATGAGATGGGATAAAGTGGGACATAATGAAATAGAATGAAACATTACATTATTTGTGAGTTTTATCATATGAATGAACACTTTTATTTAATTATTATTTATGAATTATTATAAAAAGTCATAGTTTTGAAAAAAATATAATTATATTTTTAGTTTTAGGGTGAGAGGGAGTGAAAAAATGATAATAATTTTGTACTAATATTATTTATATTATGTATCGAGGTAAACTTTGAATACTAAATATGTCCTCAAAATAAGGTTGAAGTCAGACAGTGAGACAATGAGGGATAAGCTTCATCGTCAAGAGAGAAATAGCTTGGATCACTAGTAAAGTCTCTAAATGATCACTCAATGATAAAAGAGGTATGGGTGTCGTGACACCACTCAGGAGGTATCCTTTACCCCCTAAATTGATGGCTAGAGTCTTGACTAAAAAAAAAAATTTTAAGATGGCTAATGATGCTTAGAAGGCCATCCTAAATCATTTCACTTTTTTAATTTTTTTTCAAAATAAAGGTATCAAACTTTTAAGCATCACATCCTATTCCATTATATCTTAAAAAACCTCCAAACACTACCTTAAACTTATTAATTTTGTCTCAAAGAATGCACATGTTTTAATGACATAAGCTTCTAACCAACATTTAATAAAAGGTAAGGGGAAAAACATATAATAAAAAATTGACATTATCACATATAAATATAATCAGGCCAAAAGAGTCATTTAGCCTCTCCCTTGTGAATAGAATCGGAAAGAGTATCTTATAATACTCGGTTGATAGTGTTGAGATGTTGTAGATTTTCACTACTCGCCTCTTTGGGCTCTTCTCGTTCCTTTTTTTTTTTTTTTGGGCCGGGGGGGTCCCTACCAATATCATATAATTATTTAAAAATGATAATAATATCGTTAAAATGATAATTTCAAAGAATAGTATTATTTTGAAATTGAGAGGCTGCATAATGCTGTAAAAAAAAAAAAATAACTCGGGCACCAGCATTGTTGATAAACAGAACGACTAGAATTTGTTAGGACGGTTGTTGTGAACTTGAAAATTGAGGTCCAAGGTCGAACTATCTGTTGTTTACCGTCAAGTATTTCTCCAATGACCATGTATTTTTTTTTTTTAAATAATAATATGGTCAAATTTATATGTTGTTTACTGGGAAGTATTTCAAATTAGGAACCAAAACGTCATGAATACATATTAGATTGGAAAATATATTTGCCATAGGGACGGGCCAACGTTAAGGCTTATGGGGGCAATTTGCTCCCACAAGCCAAGAAAATATTATATAAAATAAGACCACAAAATTTTTATATGTCCCCATTAAAAAATTTCATTTGCCCCATCATTTTAGAAAATTCACTTGTCCCCTTACTAAAATTCATTTCTCCCATATAACAATATATGATCTAAAAGACTAAAAAATTTATCCCGTCAAAAAGTAATTTTTTATTTTATTATATTTTTTATTTTATGCATTCTCTTTACAATTTAATTTTATCATGTTATATCAATAAATATTTAGAATTATTTTTAGAAAAATATTAATATTTATTTTAAATATAAATTATACCCCACCAATTTATTTTTCTAGATTGTCACTGATTTGCGATGATAAGAATCAAAGAAATTTGTGAAATTTGAGATTTGTCAATTTGGTATTTGTGAAAAGATAGTATTTATTCGTGTTTTTAAGAAATTTACGGTAAAGATAAATGTAAACCTAATAAGTAAGAACTTTAAATAGAAATATATATAAATAACTTCAGCTTTTTTTAAAATACTTGAAACAGTAAAGCATCTGTTGGTTAAAGAACAATAAAGCATCCAGCAACAGTGGTCTGATCAACCAAAAACAAACAACAGTCCGCAGAAAATGCTTTTAAATAAGAAAAAAATTGTAAACTCAATTCAAATCAAATTAATTGGGCCAACTTGACTTTTAAAAACTGGTTGATATTAAATAAGAAAATTATTAAATGATTCTAGTGAATGGGATTATAATCGTTTAAACACGAATTTTTGAGTTCAAGTCCGCAGAAAATGCTTTAAAAACAGCCACCCGCAATTCGACTTACAAATTTGGAATATGGCAAAATTATATAGCAATACTAAAAAACGAATAAAAATATTATTTACTGAAAGCAAAAGCTGCAATGATTCGGGATGAGCCTAATGCTGTCTGCAATACTGGTGATTGGTCAGTTACAGAAAAAATTCAACAAATGCTTATAAAGACTCTATTAGTGAAATAATTAATGAAACTAATCATAAGAAGACATGTAAACACATTATACACACGACACCATTCAAAATGTTTGAATATCTTCACATGTGATTATGTCTAGATTAGTATCATAATAGATATTGATTTAGCTTAATGTGAAAGTGAAAATGCATGGAGGATAGATAGATGGAATCTTGAAGAGTGAAGTGGGAAAGGGACAAGGGACAGGAATTGAGGCATGACATCAGCGTCTCTTTGGTTGCACAAAATATGTGTACGTGGGAAGTGGAAGCACCACACACAAGAATGTCCCCTGCCCCTTTACTTCTTCCAAGAGCCATCTTCTTCCTCACTTCATCATCGTCTTCACCTTCAGCCATCACTCCCACACCAAAGGGTTAGGCTTCAAACCAATCATCTCGCAAGTATCACAATTCTTCCTTCATTCTCTCAGCACTTGTTTCAGAATGCTCTTTCCCTTTACCATACATATTTTTATTCATTAAATTAAAGGGAAAGAAAAGGAAACACAACTCTTGGTTCTCACAGTAATTACATGCGACTTGCAATTTCGACCCACATTTTTATTGGTATCAATACGGCTCCTCTGATTTCATAAAGTCAAATAAATTGTCCTCGTACTTTGGAAATCGAGTGAGCATTTGAGCTGAATTGAATTTGCTACTAATATTAGATTTTGCTTTCGTTATCTCTAATAATTGAATTTGTTGTTTCTTCTGAATTTGGTATTGTTTTTTAAATTTTTGTTGTGAATTATAGAAACTCGTAGAGACCATTTATTTGACGTTATGAAATTAGTGGAATCATGTTAATGCTAATTAAAACAAAGGGACCAAGACGCAAATTAGATGAATATTTAAGGATCCAGTTTCTTTTTTTTAAAAAAAAAAATCGTCATACGCACTTTTTACCTAAAAAAAAATAACAAAAGAGAGTAATTACATGTTAAAAGAAAGGAGAATGACATATTAGTTTAAAGGATCAATTAATTCAAATTAAATTTTAAAGTGTCAAACTTCAAGAATTTATAAGTTTGACTTTCAATTTTATAATTTTATTGTAATAAATTTATAACTTATTTTTAAAATTTTAACATGATTGAATAATAAATAAATTTATTTTTTTATTAAAATTAAAAATATAAATTATAAATTCATCACAATGAATTTGAAAAATTGAGAACAAAACTTATAAATTTTTAAAGTTTAACATTTTAAAATTTATTTTAAATTAATTGATCCTCTATATGTCATTTTTTTCTTAACAGGATGGTGCATGAATTTCAGTTACATTATGTGAAAGCTCAAAAGCAACATTTTTACTTCTTCTGTTTGGCATTACGTAAAAAAATAAACCTGCACAAAGAAATACAATTAATTGCATCAGATTTTCTTTTCAAATTTTCAAAATGGCTATTAATTTATGAAATATAAAATATACCGTTCGTGTCTCGCATTTAATCTATAACGTTGCTAAATTACCAAATTGATGTATTGATGCAGGTGATGCTTAAACTTGTCAGTGGTCCAGGGCGCACAGGTCATTGCTTTGGCGCATATTAAGTATCCACTTTGGAGGCCCATTACTACTTAAATAAAGCAACACATTGTCCGTGACCGTGAGCACTGTAACCAGTGAAAATTAATAAACATGCCAACATGTCCATTCCTATATAAACAGAAACTCAAATCCGTGACTCTAGAAAACGACATTTATTCAAATGCCAAGTTAAAAAACTACACAACATAACTGCACATAGTGTACGTTCAAACATGCACTGCCAGGGATTTCAATGATTCTGACCGAATCTCAACAGGAAACTGCAATGTAAATCACAGCTGGAAAGACTTTCCACATCTTTTTTTAATTATCACAAAATCCTCTCATTTTCCCCTCTTTCTCTTACTCTTACCTTCTCATTTCATTTCACTCTCTACAAAATGGATGAGCTTTTGTCGAAAATAAAGAGGCAATTTTTCACCTTTGACATCATCACAGTAGGATGCTGTCAAGAGAGAGGACAGTGCGGCTAAATTATGGGTCACCATGATTCATGTTTCTTTCTTTCTTTTTTTTTTTCCCCCACTTGGTAGTAAACCAATATCTCATCATCTTCAATTATCTGTACCGTAAGTCCAGCAGCTACAAATTTGACCGCAAGCAACAAAATTGCTTTAATATATAGGAAAATGTTGCCTGTGATGTGATTGCTATAATCTTATCTTAATAGTAATAACGATAACAAAAATAAAACAAAGGATACCAGCTTCAAATGAATATCTTGGCCACAGAACACCTACTAAACAATGGTGAGTTGATTACATATATTTATATATACACATAGACTGATACACATTACCTTTCCTCGAATGACAAAGTGAACTGTATACAGCTAACTAGTGAGAGAAAAACCACCCTTTTTTCTGTAACATTCGGACACGAAGATAAAAACTACACACAGGACGTAGAAACCACAGCAGGGATCAAAATGGAAAATAAAAGACAAGACCAGCTATCGACTCCTTTCCGTTGTTATTACCTTCTGTGTCATCATCTCCACCCCATGGAAAAATAAAACGTCTGGGGTTAATGTTAGCATTGAGAGTGAGCGGTCAAATAAGATCAGTTCTACACACGTGTTGTCAGGCAGCTGGTAGTTGGCACACGACAAAGTTGTAATACATGTGTTCTTACGCTACAATCTTTAACCTGTCAGAATAAATCAGATACACAAAAAAGAATGCTTAGAATTGGTATGCGAAAGTTTCATCAAAACATGATTGACTAATGATTACCTGCATGGCTGCTAATGAGGACAAGAAATCCTTGCATTGTTCAAGCAAAAATTTTTCCTTTGTGGTCACTTTTACAAGTTCCGCCACCAAGGAGTTAGTTTCTTCCACCTGCTAGCAACAATTTAAGATTCTACCACTGAGTGCCAAGGTGTTGGGGTAACATACGGATAGAAAAGAATTATATACGCATATTTTTGCTTTATCACCTTTGACAAAAGAGAGTATATTGAGGATGCCATTGACTGCATCACATCAACTGCTGAACCCACAGCGTCCTTCAGATTTGGTACATCAGCCTGGATTTTTTAAAAAGGAAACAAGTTAGGTAAAGTGACAGTCTATTTTAATAGGTGTTGTATATCTAAAGAAGTAGCACATACTATCGCTTTTTCAACAACAGGAAGACGGAGGGTACTGGCCCTTAAAGCTTCAGTTGCTCCAAGCAAAGAGCTGGTGTGATCTTTATCTAGAAGTGCCCACTCTTCCAAATAAGGCATCTATGTGAAAAATCACAGCAGACTTTGAGAAGTAAGAGCAGAGAGAAGAGGGAGGTGAGACATGGGATAGAGAGATTAGGGAGGAAGAAACTAAAAATTTACTCAAAACTGATGACTTCCTGTCAAGATTATGACAGTGGTCTTTCAAGCGGTGTAAAGAGCCCAGGGAATAAATGTGTAAAATGAATATATACACTAAATCCCCACTCTCCACCTGAACTCGGTCTTTCATTCCTTATTGGTATCAACCTTTTAGCGAGCATCTTACCACCAGAAACAAAGATGCAGAGGTATCCAGTTCAATTTTATCATGCATGCTACTTTTAAAAAGCTACATGCGTTACTAAAGAAATATTTGTCGAAGATGAAAGCTCTGAATCTTACCTGTCCCTTTAGGATGGCAGTTATCTTCAACTTTTGCCTCAACAATAGCAACTTGATTCTTTTAAGTATGACTGAATGCCGAAGTTCTGAGATTAATACCCATGCATTCCACAAATGTTTCTGTCACCAAAAAAAAAAGGCTACAGTGTGTAGTACGAATCGCTTAGCTATATTTTTAGAACAGAAAACATAACAGCCATTGCCATTACAAACCCAAGTGCAGAGAAACAAGTTTTTGTTATAGTGTGACCAAATCATAAGATTAAGACTTCAAAGCATTGTGTTAATATAATCTAAAGACAGCAAAGGATCAGTGAAATTGATTGGGTATTGCCAAATATTAAACCAATGGAGCATATCATGAGACCAAAAAAGCTCAACTTGAGTCAACTTGGTCAGAGCCCTAATTCCAAGGTCAACATAGTGATAGTCAAGTTTTGCCACCCATCAAGTACCACAAGGTAAACCAAGATATTTCTACCCACCGTTCAATTAAGACAGAGCAAGTCTGTTAGAGTACCAAGAAGACAAGTCATACTGTTTAATCACTTGATAGTTGATAGCAGTTTGGCAATACTTCAAAGTGAATTATATGCTGGTTAAATTGAAAAGGCACAAAAGAATCAAAGGTGAGCGAATAAGATTGCAACCATAAGGACCACCAAGAGTCATCAAACATTAAAATGTTCACGAATGTTAAAAAAAATAAAACTAAATTAGTGCGTATTTCTCATCACAAGAATGCAAAAGGTAGTCAATATGCTCCTTAAGTCATTACAAAAACCATCAAAAGACTATCTCTGAAGGTATTGCCAACTGAACATTTCACGTTGAAGCATAAAACTTGAAAAGAACTCCTTTTGTCATCCTTCTGTACAGGCTGAACCTTTCTCTCCTGATTCTGCCATTAATTGCAAATTGGAATAAACAATGCACTGGCAGTCCATTTGCAATCTGTAACCGAGAATCCCTATATGAAGTTGAGGCTTCAAAAGTCCTTTAAGAGCTAAAGCTATTCACCTTCACTTAAAAACAATAATATCCTTCACTAGCTGCATTTCCTAATCAATCCTTCTTCTTTTGAGCGAAATTTGTGATACTGGGTCAGGTTTGTCACTTATTGTTTAAAAATGCATTTTAAAGAAATATTGTAAAATGATATAAACCATATAAATCTAAAATTCTAAATCATTTGTGAAAGCATTCAATATGATACAAAATAAGGCCTATCTGGGATATTCATATCAATTACAACTAATAAAAACTATGGTATAAATTAAAGTTTGATTTTTAAGACTTATGAACTATTATCATACCTCTGCATTCAGTTTCTGAATCTTCAAAGTAGCATCTTCCCTGGCATTAATAAACCTCCACTGCAAATACCGATTATATAAAAGCCTCAACGTATGCGCATCAAATATTCGATCCTCCCCTATCTTCCCTCTCCGAAGATCAACAGAGAAACTCAGAATTGAAGGTGCACTACTAGAATTGCTGTTGATAGAGGAGGCAACCGCACTTCTCACCCGAGATGGACTAGGCATCCCCCTAGAAGGTGACGATGAAGCAGATGCCCAAAGTTTACTAGGGGATGCAGGACGAGCCGTTCCCCTAATTGGGGAAGCCATAGTTCTTGGTGATGATAATGTGCCATCACTATTGAACCTTTTTAATTGAGTCAATTTTGCTGGTACCCCATTTCTCGCGCCAGGGCTTGTTGATAAAGGTGAACCTGGATCCTGCAAGCGGCGTAGGCGGCTATTAGTTTCCTGCCAAAACCTCGCAGATACGACAATGCCACGAGGTCCACCTTTCACCTTAGAAGCCCCACCACTACCATCTTGAGCTCCTGAAGTGCTACCAGAGGAAACACTGTCCGTATCAGATGTGTTGAGATCAGAAGGCAAGGAAGACTCGTTCACTGAATTTACATCGGGGGATTGCTGTGCAGCCTTGAGTAGCTCAACTTTGCCCAAATCCAAACTCAATCCCCCATCAAAAGATGCCCTTCTACCGTCATCCATCATCGATTGCTGCAATGCCCGAACCACTTTTCCATATCCATTTCCAAGAAGCTTCTTCTTATCACCAGTGCAGTCCACACTCGTTGACAACTGATTGGAACTTGAATTTGTCTGCCGAGTCCTACCCGGCCATCGATGCTGCTCCATGGGTCTCGAGTTCTCTCCCTGATCTCCTCCGCCGTCACCCTTACCTCTAACAGGAGTTGACCTCCGTCGCTCTGGCGTAGCCTTTCTGGCATTACTCGAAGTCGGCGTCGCCGCCTTGGTCTTGCTAATCGGAAGCGAAAATGCCTCCCCTTGAAACGAAACCGATAAACTCCGAGTAGACGTGACCAAAAGCTTCGTAGCTGCCGATACATCACCAACATTGCCTTGCCTGGAATCGGGAAGAGGCGTCACAGACCTAGGCGTCGTTCCGGGCCGCCGACGGTCCACTGATTGGGAGCGTTTGGGCAGCGCAGAGGCCAGCGGGGTCGATGCAGGAGTGGAATTGGTGGAGCGTGAAAGGAGCGGTGACGGACATCTCCTAGATGAAGAAGACGACGAAGTCGAAGTCGAAGTAGAAGTGGAGGTAGACGGAGAGGGAGACATGTACCTAGAAGAGACCTGCCTGCCCTTGGGCCTTCGGGGCACGGTGCCATTGTCTTTCTCTGAAGGTAGGAGCGGGGGTCTCAACGGATTTTGGCGGTTTTGTGATTCTTCCTGTTGCCTGGAGGAAATCTTGCCGTTCAGCGGGTCAGTCGAAGCTGCTTCAGAAATAGCAGCCACCATCATAGAACTTGACAATCTCGTTCTCACATTGCCTCTAAAATCAAGGGTTTCATTCCCAAACCCCAGCTCCTTCCATGGCCGATTCCGTGCGGAGAGATCAAGAAATTACAGAAAAGTTAGGAATCAAGAAAAGGGTGGGCGCAGGGCAAGATTCAACCGTTCAGAGGACCAGAGGAAGAAGAAACAGTGACGGGGTATCTTGCTTGCTGGTTGTGGATTGAAATAGGAGAGGGTTGAGAAAGCGAGAGTAGGTAAACGAGATTCGAGGGAGTGGAGAGTCTTGCAGAGAGGAAAAAGCTTTTGGGTTTTGGATTTTGTGGATGTTAGGAGGAACGTTATGTTATATTAATGACGGTTTATAGTACTAAATCGCTACTTAAGGCTGTTGTTTTCCCAGTTTCGCTGACTCAAAAAATGTAATTTATTGGGTCATTGTTAATACGCCGGTAATGTAGTTGTGAGCTGTAAATTTCTTAATAACTTTAAAATAAGTAACCGTCAACACACTCCAAATATCCCCCAAATTATACAATTTAAGTAACGTGGCATTTGGAATTAAAACACCAATAAAGCAACGGTTTAGTAATGCGAAAGTCTTGGGGCCAAAAAGAATGTAATACGATATTGAAGTCATTCTCAGGATGTGGAGAGGGGAGAAAAAAGGCATTTTGCGTAGTCATGGTTGGCCAAAAAAAAAAATCCCATTGGACATTTAAATTTAATATTGAATGTATGAAATGACTTGTGATAAGTTTTATCTTTTTATTAGAAAATTAAAATAGGTGTTAAATAAAGATAGCACTAAAAAATGGAAGTAAATTTAAAACATGAATTAATTCAGTTACTTTAATCAGTATGTCAAAATTAAGTAATTTCATTCTATTCTATAAATAGAGATTCAAAGAGCATACTCCCTCCGATTGTTAATTTATGGCACCTTCTACTAGAAAGATTTTTTTTAATCATTAATATAAGATACATGAAAGATTATTTATTATTATATTTTAATTTTAACCCTATTATAAATTTAATTTTATATCCCCTATATATTGTGTATCTCTCTTCCTTATTTTTTAATACAATTTTTGGTAAAGTTAAAAAAATATTTTATTTTAAAATATATTTAATAAATTAATTATCATTCATTAGTTCTAGTGCATTCAGGAGAAGTGGGAGCATTTACCATATATAATTCAACAAATATGCAATATATAAGTTATCTCTTTCTTTATGTGTTTTAGAGAATTATAAAAATCTATACACTCACTATGAATCAAGTTGTTAAGCTTACAAACTTAAGTAAACTCGTAATGAAAATATAAATTTAAATCATATACTTAGATCATAAATTTGTGATAGTTTATCACTATTAATAAATAGTCATTAAATATATGTGATTAAATAATTAAAATATAAAATATAATCATAATTTAACTTAAATATATTTTAAATAGAAATTATTAAAATTAAATCTATATATATTGATAAATTATCATATCCAATGTAAAAAATTTTAAATAGGGCAATTTATTTTTTTGTTTTTAAATTTATTAATATTATTTTTTTTAGTTTTATTTTTCTTTGAATGATGCCTGCCACTTTTATAAACTGAGTATTACATATATGTACATGACTCATTTAATTGGATAAACAATTAACAAGTTTAACAGATTTAATTGAGTTTACATATAGTTTAAGTTTACAAGAAAGTTAACATAATTTTATAAGTTAAAAATATAAAAAATGTAAATTAAAAAAATTAACTCTTGAGTTTAATTGAATTTGTATATGAGATAAGTTTATGAGTAAGTTGAGGTGATTTTAAAAATTAAAAAAAGTAAAAATGGTGAACTCAAATAGTAAACTTGAGATTTGACAACCATGCTCCGAACAATGTAACTTATTTCAAATGTGATTACATCTAATTAATTTAAGAGGATTAATAGCTAAAATTAAAAATTTAAAAATTTGAGTCACTTGAAAAATATTTTTAATGAAACAAATAATTTTTATGGATGAAGCAAATAAATCATTCTCTGCATTACACCCTCTTTTATACAACTTTATTTTCACAAGGGCTTGTTTGTTTGTTTTTTTTTTTTTTTGCCAAATTAAGAGGGTTTGCAGTTTGAACCCACACGCCGTTTATGTTGACATGAAATTATATAATTTAAGATACCACGAAAAAAAAAGATATGTGAATAATAATATTGATAACAAAATAAATGAAACATTTTATTCCTTAAAACAAAACAAAAATGACGTGTGCATTTCTTAGTTATCAAAACTCTTTCTAATTCAAAATTTAGGGACATTTTTAATTCTTATTATTAGTTTTTTTTTCAATTTAACCAAAGAAACATAACTAATTAAAATTGGCATGAGTAGTAGAGGCTTCCATCACTTAAACAAGTTGGATTCTCTATCATTGGTAGAATCAATTCCTTATACTTACCCAAAATACTAGAATTTATCATAATAATACATGTACATCTTACAACTGAAAAATACAGCATTGACACATAGTTTGATGCATAAAAAATGAGCAAAAGATAGTCTGGAAAAAAAGAAAATCTTTAAAGTAAACCTCACTGCTCACCCAAAATATTAGAATTTATCATAATCTTTTAAGATATGAAGAAAGAATTTCTTAATCTTATTTATAAGTCATTAAATTTTTATTAGAAATTTGAACAAAACTAAAACTCATAAATAAGATCAGAGAAGTAATTTTTTATTTTACAATTAGTCCTAAAAAAATGATGTTGGAATAACTTTAATAAGAAAAGTATGTCATCAATGTTACCATTAATACTCAACACAAAATCGATGACATATTGTACTATTTGTGAATCTTCAACAGTTCAACTCGTTTATCAGACTTATATACAAGACATGGATTTCACGGACAAAAAAATACAACAATAGTACCTAGAGAGAACTGCTCCAACAAGCTGTACAAGACTTTGATGTTTCATTCTCGTAAATTGCATCACGTGTATAAAATGTTTGAATATAATAATAAGCAAAAACGATTTTATACACACAAACTTATAATTACTTGAAAGATACATGATACTCCAAAGTGACGTAAGTTAGAGAGGTTACTTCAACGAACTAACCAGTAACCACTACAGTTGTTGATGATGATTCCAAAAAGCTTTCACATTATCAACCACAATTCCCATCTCTGCTTAATTGTGATTTTTGCAAGCCAAGCTACATGACTCAATTTATTTAATTATGGTTATTATTATTGGCTTTTATTAGTGTGACCACATATATTATTAAGATGCCCTATCTCTTTCTGTCTCCCTCATTCATATTGCAGGCTTTGAAAGCTTCTTAATTATTTAGTTATTGGTTCCTTATTAATTAGTTAATATCATCTTGTCTGTCTCCTGTATGTGTTCCATGGTTCTGTGCATTTCGTCCGCTTTATCTGACCTTTCACTCATTTGGACTCATTGGCGTTTCTTTCACCTTTGGATTCAAAAATGAGGTGATGCGTTTTTAAATGTCACTTGGAAATTAATTCTGAAATTGTTATTATATATCCTTTTTTTCGTGTTCGCCTCTCTTTCTTCAATGTTTTTGAATACTTTGATATACACCTTTTACTGACTTTTCATTCTTTTTGACTGATATATATTTCACCAAAGCAACCAAATATGAGATTGGCCGGATCTAAAAATTCCACCCATTCTTGAATCCTTTTTCCCTCACTTTTGCTTCTCGAACAGTTTACTTCTTGTGTGATAAGTTAGAATAATTATTAATTTTCAATAGATTGTTATCTCAAACACACAATAATTATCTTTATTATTTGTAATGGAGGGGATGATGGAGTCCAAAGAGGAGCAAGAGAAGGAAGTTTCAGATACAATATTGATGCATATAGTATTTCTGAACTATTGTTATTAATGGATTAATTCTAAGCAAGATAAGTTCTAATGAGATATTTCATTTTATTTTTAGTGTAAACATTTTATAAATCAGTTGTAATGAGAAAGTGGCTTAATACTCCTCAAGTGAAATCTAAAATTCAAGGCTGCGTGACTGTGTGAGATAATATTTTCTCTCTAAGCATTTTAAGGTTGTCTCTCCTCAGTAGTTATTCTCTCCAATTTTATTTATAAAATATTAAAATAATTTTTTAGTTTTATTTATAAAACTTGTTATTGATCTTTTGTTATAAATTTATCATTTTAACTATTAAATATTAATAAAAAAATACATTATTAAAATATATATATTAAAAACAAAATTTAAAAATTTATTAAATTTTTAGAAATAATCAATAAATTTTAAAATTTTTGTTGATTTCTGTAAAATATATTAAGAGTAATTTATAAATCTGAATATTTGTTTTGGAAGTGAAAGGTTGACTCTCATGTGACACTTGTCATGTTTTGGGGGGAAAATAATTAATAAAAGCGCGGTATCGTTTCAAGTTCCAAAGTATTAACTATGTTGAAGGAAGTATTGTGGAAAAAATATTTTGGCATGTTATTGTAGAGCAAAGCTCTGATGACAAGTGGAGTGTTAAGGTTTGTTGTAACTTGTACGTAGAATTTTTTTTTCCTTGGCAAAAATGTTGTACGTAGAAATTGATCGTGTGTATTTTGAACTTGTTAAATTATGACAAGCTCATATGTCGCCGTGCGTGATCATATTATGACAAGCCAATTTGCATCATTTGCGTCATTTTGTAAAACATTCCTTGAATTATAATTGCACAATCCACTTTACTTAACTACTTGGAAACCGATCATTCCAAAAGGCTACAATGACTAGACACCAAGAAATAACTCTTTAAATGGAATTAATTAGTTCTGTTAAATTTTGATTTAATCATTGCAAATATTTACCGACATGTTTGTGCATGCTATCAAGTTGTTGTGGTAAATAAAACGAAATTCTTTTTTTATTGGGGCTGGTTTATAATAATTGTTGGATTAAGTAATGCTTGATTAAAGAAAAGGGATGGGATAAGTGATGAGAAAGGCAAATATAATAATGTGTTGAGGGCATGTGACTTAAAGGACACTCAAAATGTGAATAATATTAATAATAATAAAAATAATAAGAATGATGATGATTGATTTAAAAAGTGAGTCACCCACTCAAAGTATGTCCGTTCATGGGGTCCCTATTTGTTCGCTTGGAAACTGATTATGGAATATAGAATGATCCAATCCTTTGCCCCAGTATCTTTCCAGCATTTTTAATATTTTTTTAAAAAAATGAAAATATGAACAAAAAATGTTTATCATATCTCCATTACCAAATAATATAAATTATCGGACAATAACATAATA